ACTTGTAGAGGTAACTTCTTTATTACAATACAACACTCCAACAGTCCTGATACTCTGCTACAGCTTAGGTACACAGCCTAGCTACACAGCCTAGATACTCTACTCTGGCTACGCTCCGGAACTCGCCCTCACAAGGTCGTAGCGTCGGGAGTTCCAGAGTCCCAGCGCTGGCTCTCGCAGCATCCCAGGGTCTTCAGATGGCTGGTCGTGGGTCTTGGGTCTTGAGTTACAACTGGCCCCGATCGTCCAGGGAGCTCCGCTTATATGCCCAGTCCCCAACGAGGGGTGGGGCCGTGTGCGCCACCAGACATCCCACAGAGCACACACAGCCCCCCCCCCCCCCGTTGGCGGCGCCCAGAGGCTTAAGCGTCTGGACCCCCTGGGAACCCAGCGCCTGGCGCCCAGGGGATTACGCGTCTGGACCCACCTGGTGTTGTGTATGTACCCGCTTTTTATTTTTTTTAATATTATTTTTTTTAAAGAATTATTCTGCCATCATATATAATATTGTTTTTTTAATAGACACGGGGCAACGTGGAACGAACACGCCCCCACACTTCCACAGATGCGCGCATACCTCAATTCAAAGGAAAGACGGCATGAAAGAGGGTAATCAAGGTCATAAACTCCCCGAATTTCACACAAGAGGGTTCATAGCGTAGCGCTAACTGCTGCACCACCGCTCCCCACATACACATGTGCGTACAGACACACACGTACACGTGCGTATGTACCTTCCGATGTTTTTTACGTGGGGGGGGGTACAAAGCAACGTCTTTGTTTTATTGCATCGCAGCAGCAGCAGCGGGATCAGAACGACGATGAAACAGAAATTGTTCGTTAAAGACGAGCAAATATTTGCAAGCCGCACATCGACTCTGTGACGACTCGGAGCCGAGACGGAGCCGGTCTGCAACACGCGCGCGTGTGTGCGCGTGTCCCTGGGACCCCCTAGGGTCCACTCGGCATAAAATGAGTAAAATGTGTGCGAAGTGTTAGAAGCATCGACACTGGGGAGACAAAGGCGGGTGTGTCGGTGGCCACGTCGCGGCCTTCACAGGTGCTACTCGCTAGCAGCACTTGCCCCAACAGTCAGTACAGGCTAGACGGGGGATCTTTGTCTCTGTGGTGGTTCCTCCGCTAATACAGCGAGCGGCGTGCAGGCTGAGTGGCGTGGGGAGTGGAAAGGACGCTCTTATCTCTGGCCAGAAAGCGTGTTTGCTTTGCTAGATTCTGCAAATAAACTCTATTGTTTCGCTCAGAATTATGGGAAATCCTTTCATCTTCTTGGTTCTTTCCGTAAAGTCACGTAGAAGGGGAAAAAACATAATACAATTATTATTTTAGAAGGGAAATAATAATATAATAAAAATAGCTAAATAGTTATATAATTAAAAAACCGTCATAAATTTATAATTTTAGAAGGGAACTAATAAACTAATAAAAAGGAAACATAATAAAATTAATTATATAATATTAAAAACCATAATAAAATAATTATTTTAGAAGGGAAATATTAAAATAATAAACATAAAACATAGTAAAATTGTTATATAATAATAAATACAACATAATAAAAGAATTGTTTTACAAGGGAAATAATCAAATAATACAACTAAAACATGATAAAAGAATTATATTATTATATTTTTTTAAATAAACATAATAAAGCTATTATTTTATGATGTTTTGTTTTTATTATTTTATTTTTTCCCTTCTACGTGATGACTTTACCGAATATAACCAAGAAGATGAATCCCTGCAGTCACGAAACCTCTAAGTCGAAAATCCTTTCGTTACGATTCACAAATTAAAAAAGAAATCTCCCTGCATCTGCATTGACGATCTGGACGCCGGTCTCAGCCTCCGCACAACCACTGCTGGGTGTGTGTCGCCGCTACAAGTCTCTGTGTGTGTGTCTCTGTGTGTGTGTGTCTCTGTGTGTGTGTGTCTCTGTGTGTGTGTGTGTCTCTGTGTGTGTGTGTGTCTGTGTGTGTGTGTCTGTGTGTGTGTGTCTGTGTGTGTGTGTCTGCTGTGTGTGTGTCTGTGTGTGTTGTGTCTGTGTGTCTGGTGTGTGTGTCTGACTGTGTGTGTGTCTGTGTGTGTCTGCGGTAGTGTAGCGGTTAGCGCGCTGCGCTATGAACCTGGCGACCCGGGTTCGATTCCCGCTCACGGCTAACACCAGTGACGATTATCTGAACCGGTCCTGGGCCTCCCCTAGGTCGACTCAGCCTTAAATGAGTACCTGGTGCGGTGTGTAAACATCGCCACTGGGGAGACAAAGGCGGTCGGGCGTGGTGCTGGCCACCCACCCCCTCGTGTACCGTTCCGGCCTTCATAGGTGCTCGCTAACAGCACTTGCCCCTACAGTCTGTTAAGGCTACACGGGGGATCTTTGTCACTGTGTGTGTGGCATCAGCACGAGGAAGACAAAGACGGCTGTGCGTGTTTCTAGCCACAAGAGCCTCCAGCAGAGGCACCACGCTGCCCTGACAGTCTGCGTGGGCTGTGGGTGGAGTTGGACGTGGGGGTGGAGTAGCCAAGTGGTGGACAATGTCAACGAGGGCCCTAAAGGGGGGGGGGGGTGTGGAGTGGCCAGCACCACGCCCGGCTACCTTTGTGAAAATCTAAAACACGTCCTGTGCCACCGCTAGGTCAACTCGGCCTGAAATTGTTGTTCTAAGACATCGTCACCTGGGTGGGGGTGAAGGCGACCCGGGCGTGGTTCTGAGCACACACACAGAGACACGAGACGCCGTGACGCCCTTGACAGGCGCTCGCTCACAGCGCGTGCCGCCAGCAGTCTGCGTGATAGAACAAAGACAAAGATCCCCCGTATAGCCTTAACAGACTGTAGGGGCAAGTGCTGTTAGCGAGCACCTATGAAGGCCGGAACGGTTACATGAGGGGGTGGGTGGCCAGCACCACGCCCGACCGCCTTTGTCTCCCTACACACCGCACCAGGTACTCATTTGAGGCTGAGTCGACCTAGGGGAGGCCCAGGACCGGTTCAGATAATCGTCACCGGTGTTGGCCGTGAGCGGGAATCGAACCCGGGTCGCCGGGTTCGTAGCGCAGCGTAGCGCTAACCGCTGCACCACCGCTCCCTAATAGAACACACGCTCATTCACACACACACACGCGCATAATTGTACATACGTGTGCACATGTACACAGAGTCGTGTATGATCCCATATTTAAGTTTGTGTTACAGTGGGATATCTGTTAACAACACCAACGTATCGTGAATATGCAGAGGATAATTTATATGTATTACAACTTAATTGTACAATGCATCGATGTACATTCTAGATTTGAAGCTTTCGTGACTGCAAGGATTCATACTCTTGGGTTTTTTCGATAAAGCCACGTAGGTGAAAAATAAAGAAATAAAAACATTTCTTGAAATAATAATAGAAAGAAAATTAGTATTTTAAAAAAACTAAAAAATATAATTTATTTTCTATTTTATTTTTTACCTACGTGACTTTAACGACAGAACCCAAGAGCATCAATGTAGAGCCTATAGCGGCACGAACACACATTGTACAACGTCTATAACATGGTAAGTACATCGCATCGTATACATCCACGTAACACAGTCTTGTACCATTCATAAAACAGCTACAGATACATTACAACGATCCCCCCGTATAGCCTTAACGGACGCTAGGGGCAAGTGCTGTTAGCGAGCAGCACCTCGTGATTTTGAATGGAGGGATGGAGGTGGGAGGAGGGGAGCCGAAAGCCCCTCGACAAACATCCACTCCTGCCAGGGTCAATCATTCACCCGTGTGCTCTCTAGGCGGGTCAATCATTAATAGTGCACCACACAACTCCACCCACCCACCCACTCGCTCACTCGCTCACATCCCACATTCATTGAAATCATCTCGGTTTCCCGTCACTCTCGTAGAAGCGGAGCGTTGGTGAACCGAGCTGATCCATGCACCACCAGCACCACCACCACCAGCACCACCAGCACCACCACCAGCACCACCACCACCAGCACCACCACCACCAGCACCACCACCACCAGCACCACCACCACCAGCAGCAGCAGCAGCATGGCCCCAGGATTTCTCTCCGCACCCTCCCTCCCCCTCCTGCACAGCAGCAGCAGCAGCTGTATGAGACTGGCTCCATCTCTCCTCGCCGCCGTTTGCATCGCCGCCGTCTTCGCGGTGTCCGCAGCTCACGAGGGTAAAGCAAAAACACGAAACGACGCGGCTCTCTCTCTCTCTGTGTGTGTGGCTCCGCTCAACGATGGCTCTTTCAAGGCTCCTCCCGCGTGTCTCTCTCGTTACCCTGCGTGTCTCGTCAACTCGTTCGCCGAGACGGAGTGTGTACGTGTGTGTGTGTACGTGTGTGTGTGTGTACGTGTGTGTGTGTCTCTGTGTGTGTGTGTCTCTGTGTGAGTGTGTACGTGTGTGTGTGTACGTGTGTGTGTGTGTACGTGTGTGTGTGTACGTGTGAGTGTGTGTACGTGTGTGTGTGTGTCTGTGTGTCTCTGTGTGTGTCTGTGTGTGTGTCTGTCCGTGTGTCTGTGTGTGTCTGTGTTTGTGTGTCTCTGTGTGTGTGTCTGTGTGTGTGTGTCTGTGTCCGCGTGTGTGTCTGTGTGTCTGTGTTTGTGTGTCTCTGTGTGTGTCTGTGTGTGTCTGTCTATGTGTCTGTGTGTCTGTGTGTCTGTGTCCGCGTGTGTGTCTGTGTGTCTGTATGTCTGTGTGTCTGTATGTCTGTGTGTGTGTCTGTGTGTGTGTCTGTGTGTCTGTGTGTGTGTCTGTGTGTGTGTCTATGTGTGTGTCTCTGTGTGTGTGTCTGTGTGTGTCTGTCTATGTGTCTGTGTGTCTGTGTCCGCGTGTGTGTCTGTGTGTCTGTGTGTCTGTATGTCTGTGTGTCTGTATGTCTGTGTGTGTGTCTGTGTGTGTGTCTGTGTGTCTGTGTGTGTGTCTGTGTGTGTGTGTGTCTCTGTGTGTGCGTGTCTCTCCCCCGCAGTGGACATGCTCGACACGGAGACGGTGCAGGGAGACCTCGGCTGGGTCGCCTTCCCTCCTGACGGGGTGAGGAGGAGTCGAGAGGCCACGAAACTTCTGTGGATGTTCGAGGGGGGGGGGGGGGCGTCCATAAATGACGTCACGCACCTGGGGGAGGGCGGGGTCACACTTTTGTGACGATGCGTGACGAGGGGGGTTGAGAAATGTGACGTCGTATTTAAAATTCGCGACTTTAAATAAATATAGACAACACGTTCTACTTCATTTAATAGATTTTGTAATAAATGTTTTCTCCTACAACGCTTCTGTAGGGACATTTATCACTTGACCCTTGGGCTACACTCATTTGAAACTTTTGAAACAGCCTGCCTCAGCGGCTATCCCGATCTTTTTTCTCCCGATGGTACATTTACTTGTTCTACGTGACTTTGCCGAAAGACCCCAAAGAATCCGTGTTTCTTGTTCTGCCCCGCGGCAGATATGGGGGCGTGCTTACACAGCAACTTCCTGATATGGTGTTGAGTTTGGTCACGTGACCAGGAAGTTAAGGGGTGTCAGCCGTCACACAGAGTACACAATGGAGGCACACTCAGGGTCTCAGTGAATCTGGTCATTGTGGTACTTGAAGAAGCATTGTCTGTCAGTTCGTTTATGTTCTTACAATACCGGGAATGCTGTTATAGTGTTAGGATTGACGTTATAATGCTTTAGACCCCAAATAATATCAACTCCTGCAGTCACGAAAGCTTTAAGTGAAGATTAAATAAATACAGATTCATGATAAGCACGCCTCAAACTCACCGTCTTCCAATTCCACTCACAAAAAAAATCACCCCCCCAACTCCCCCCACACTCCCCCCCCCCACACTCTCCCCCCACACTGCCCCCACACACTCCCCCCCACACTCTCCCCCCACTCCCCCCCCACACTACCCCCCCACACTCCCCCCCACACTCTCCCCCCACATTCCCCCCCACACTCCCCCCCACACTCCTTCCCAACACTCCTCCCCAACTCCCCCCCACACTCCCGCACACCCCCCACACTCCCCCCCCACACTCCCCCCCCCCACACTCCCCCAACCCCCCCCACTCCCTCCCCCCTCACCACGACGGCAGTGGCAGCCCGCGAGTGGCCAGGGCCCCCGGCGCTTGTACCAGGCGCAGTGCGGCCCCGCCGCGCCCCGCCAGGACAAGTGGCTGCGCACCGACTGGGTCCCGCGTGGCGACGCTCTCCGCGTCTTCCTCGAGGTCCGCTTTCCGTTCCGTCGCCGCTGCCCCCGGGGCCTCCCTCTCCTCCTCCCCCCCACCGCCACCCACCGCCACCACCGCCACCACCGCCACCACCGCCACCCGCCGCCACCCGCCGGCAGCGGCTGCGTCAGCGACGCGCTGGAAGTTTACTACCGTGAGTCGGACGACACCGGAGACGTCCCCCGCCGGCGTCTTCGCGGACGACGAGCGGCGGCTCTTCTCCAAGGTCGACTCGGTCGGCTGGGACAGGTCGGAGGCCGGGGAGACCACGGCGTCGTGCGACGTGGGGCCCCTCTCCCGGGGCGGCCTCCGCCTGGCGTTCCGCGACACGGGGGCCTGCGCCCAGGCTGCTGTCCGTGCGACTCTTCCACAGGCCTGCGCCCGGCGCTGGCGCTCGGACTCGCCGCGTTCCCCGACGCGCCGGCCGCCGGCGACGGGCGGTGGGCGCTGTCGAGGTGGCCGGGGCGTGCGTGGGCCACTCGCTCCGGGCCCCTACAGTCTGTTAAGGCTATATGGGGGATCTTTATCTTTGTGTATGTATGTGTATGTGTGTGGTGTGTATGTGTGTGTGTGTATGTGTGTGTATGAATGTATGTGTGTGTATGAATGTATGTGTGTGTATGAATGTATGTGTGTGTATGTGTGTATGTGTGTGTGGTGATGTGTGTGTATATGTGTGTGTGTGTATGAGGCCTCCGGGCAAGCGAACGAGGTACCACGTGATCACGTCCTGGATGTGCCCACAGCCCCGTCCCCCCCCGTGGTGCGTGTCCAGGCGGGGATCGTCTCGGAAGACTCCGTCCTGGTGACCTGGCTCGAGCCAGAGCAGCCCAACGGCTTCATTCTGGACTACGAAGTCACATGCTACGAAGAGGTACAATTGTCGATTTTACTTGCGTGCGTATGAATGTACACGCGTGTGTCCGTGCGCGTGTGTCCGTGTGTTCGATTCCCGCTAACGGCTACGATTATCTCAACGAGTCCTGGGTCTCCCCTAGGTCGACTCAGCCTCAAATGAGTTCCCGGTGCGGTGTGTAAACATCGCCACTGCGGATACAAAGGCGGCCGGGCGTGGTGCTGGCCACCCACCCCCTCGTGTGCCGTGCCGGCCTTCATTGGTGCTACTCGCTAACAGCACTTGCCCCTACAGTCTGCTGACACTACACGGGGGATCTTGTCTTTGCATTAGCAAGTGGAGGGCAGCAGAGTTTCAACAACAACATCATCATCCCGTGAACCAGGTGACCCCGAGTTCAATGGTCTCTGTGGGATTAGTCTGAACCCCCCCCATCCTGCACCCCCCCCATCTGCCTCCCCCCATCTGTAACCCCCCCATCTGCACCCCCCCCATCTGCCCCCTCCCATCCTGTACCCCCCCATCTGTAACCCCCCCATCTGCCCCCCCCCATCTGTCCCCCCCCCCATCTGTCCCCCCCCCATCTGCACCCCCCCCATCTGTCCCCCCCCATCTGCACCCCCCCCATCTGTCCCCCCCCCACCAGGATGACGATGACGACACTGACGCTGACACTGATGACGACGCTGACACTGACGCGAGGCTGAGTTGATGCGGCTGCTCTGCAGCGCCGCGTGTGACGGTGGGGGGGCTCCGTCGTGCGGCGGGCTACTCGCTGCGGGTTCGCGCTCGCACGCCGCCGGCTACGGGACTACAGCCCCACACTCCACTTCCACACGTCTCGCGAACGTGAGTTGCACCACCAACCACCACCAGCACCCACTACCCACCCACCACCACCACCACCAACCACCCACCCACCCACCACCACCACCACCACCACCCACCACCAACCCCTCCACAACCCTCACCCCCACCCACCCACCCACCACCACCACACCACCACCACCAACCAGCACCACCCCACCACCACCACCACCACCACACCACCACCACACCACCACCCCACACCACCACCACCACCACCACCTGCACCACCCCACCACCACCACCACCAACCACCACCAACCTGCACCAACCCCACCACCACCACCACCAACCACCACCACCTGCACCAACCCCACCACACCACCACCCAACCACCACCACTACCACCCCCACTACCACCACCACCACCAACCAGCACCAACCCCACCACCACCAACACCACCAACCACTACTACTAACCCACACCACCACCACCCACCACCACCAACACCCACTACCCACCCACCCCCCACCAACCACCACCACCACCACCACCAACCCACCACACCATCACCATCCACCACCACCACCCACTACCCACCCACCACCACCACACCCCACCACCACCAACACCCACCCCACCACCCCCACCACCACCACACCCACCACCACCAACCACCCACCCACCCACCCACCACCACCACCACCACCACCCCACCACCACCACCAACCACTCACCCCACCCCACCCACCACCACCACCACCCCCACCACCACCACCACCACACACCCACCCACCCACCACCACCACCACCCCACCACCACCAACCAACACCAACCCCACCACCACCCTCACCCCCACCCACCCACCCCAACATCCAACCCCACCACCACCACCACCACTCAACCACTACGCCACCACCAACCCCCACTACCAACCTAACCACTACCCCACACCACCCCACCCCTCCTGTCTGTTGTGGTTGTTGTGGTTGTTGTTGTAGGGTGTTTGCTCTGTGGTTTGTTGTTGTGTTTGTGGTTATTGTCGTTGTGGTTGTGGTGTTTTTCCCTGTAATGAAAGGATGTTTTGCTCCCCCCCCCCAGCGAAGTGAGCAGCAAGTGGTCATCTGGGCCGCCGCGGTGTCCGCCCTCCTCGCGGGTCTGCTGCTCATCGCTGCCTCTTTCATCATGCGTCAAGAAGAGGTGGGGGGCACTGGGGGGGGGGGGCACTGGGGGGGTCACACACAGGCGTTGTGTGCGCTGTGAGTGTGCCCACGTGGTTTTGGGCTGCACAGAGAGGCATGCCCCTCCGTGTTGATCATCTCCGGAGCGAAACTCGCTTCTTCACGACTCACGCGGCGTTGATGTCTGCTGCTGTGCTCTGCTACTGCTGCTGTTGCTACTGCTGCTGCTACTGCTGTTGCTACTGCTGCTGCTACTGCTGCTGGCTGTTGTTTGCTACTGCTGCTACTGCTGCTGTTGCTACTGCTGCTGCTACTGCTGCTGTTGCTACTGCTGCTTGCTTCTGCTGTTGCTACTGCTGCTGCTACTGCTGCTGCTGTTGTTGCTACTGCTGCTACTGCGGCTGCTGTTGCTACTGCTGCTGCTGCTACTGCTGCTGTTGCTACTCTGCTGCTGCTTCTGCTGTTGCTACTGCTGCGCTACTGCTGCTGCTGTTGTTGCTACTGCTGCTACTGCTGCTGCTGTTGTTACTGCTGCTACTGCTGCTGCTACTGCTGCTGTTGCTACTGCGTGCTGCTTCTGCTGTTGCTACTGCGCTGCTAGCTACTGCTGCTGCTGTTGTTGCTACTGCTGCTACTGCTGCTGCCTGTTGCTACTGCTGCTACTGCTGCTGCTACACTGCTGCTGTTGCTACTGCTGCTGCTAACTGCTGCTGCTACTACTGCTACTGCTGCTGTTGCTACTGCTGCTGCTGCTACTACTGCTACTGCTGCTACTACTACTGCTGCTGTTGCTGCTGCTGCTGATACTGCTGCTGCTGTTGCTACTGCGTGCTGCTACTGCTTGCTGCTACGCTGCTGCTGTTGCTACTGCTGATGCTGCTGCTACTGCTGTTGCTACTGCTGCTGCTGTTGCTACTGCTGTTGCTACTGCCTGATGCTGCTGCTACTGCTGTTGCTACTGCTACTCTGCTGTTGCTACTGCTGCTGCTGCTACTGCTACTGCTGCTGCTACTACTGCTACTACTGCTACTGCTGCTGCTGCTGTTGTTGCTGCTGCTACTGCTGCTGCTGCTACTACTACTGCTGCTACTGCTGCTTCCTGCTGCTGTTGCTACTGCTGATGCTGCTGCTGCTGTTGCTACTGCTACTGCTGTTGCTGCTGCTACTGCTGCTGCTGCCTGCTGCTACGCTGTTGCTGCTGCTGCTGCTGATGTTGCTACTGCTGCTGCTACTGCTGCTGCTGATTTCGTGCGTCGCCTTGTGTCTGAAGGAGGTGCGGTCACTGCCGGGCAAGTGGGAGTCTCCCCAAGAGACGCGACCCTCGCTTCTACAGCGTGCGGGGTGAACGCTCCTCCACCTCTCAACACTCAACACACTCAACACATACACCCATACACATACATACATACACACACACATACATACACACATACTATCCACACATACATACACATACATACACACATACACACATACATACACACATATATATACATACACACACACATACTACACACACATACATACACACATACATACACACATACACACATACATACACACACACATACATACACACACTCAACACAATACATACATACACACACACATACACACACATATATACACACATACATACTTACACATACACACATACACACACACATACACACACATATATACACACATATATATACATATATATACATACACACACATACACACCATACACACATACATACACATACACACACACAGACACACCACATACACACCACACATACATACAAACACATATACAGATACACACACACACACATACACACACATACACACATACACACACATACATACACACACATACAAGACACACATGCCATACACACATATACACATACCACACACACACCCCCCCTCACCACTCTCACACCACCCCTCACACACTCACACTCACACCACGCCTGCAACACACACACACTCTCACACCGCCGTGTCCGGGTTAATGTCCCGTCGCCCCCCCACAGTGAAGATGCCGGGTTCAGGCTCTACATCGCCCACACGACTACGACTTGCCCATGACGCTCTCCCGCGAGTTCGCCAAGGAAATCGACGCTTCGCGATCAAACTCGGACACGTCATCGGAGTCAGGTGAACGGGAGGGGCAGACACGTCTGTACCGTCGTGGTACCCGTCAACTAGAACTTACTCGCAGGGCGCCAACTTCAAAAAGAATGTTGACACCGCGCCGCTGAGAATTTGCGAGAAATGTTGTGCCTTCCAGGGCTCTGCAGATCGCCTGGTCCACGTTGACAACAAATGGCGGACGAGCGGGAGAAACTGTTTGCTTTTGGAAGCTAGTAACGCACATCTACACCATTTGCAACCTCATTTGCCAGTAAAAAATATGATAATTTTGTTTTACCCTTCTATCTGGCAACAAAACTGACACCTTTTTTACAAGGAGTCATGTTTGCATAGGCGACAATACCTGCAGCTTTAATGCAAACAAAAAAACACAACTCTGATAATGTAGGCACTGTCCTTGAAGTTGATTGATCCACACCCATGTGAGACTAGGCTCTAAGAAAGCTGTCTCGGGTGTGGACCTGTTTGCACTTAGTCCCTTTAAGATGTTTTCCTTGTTCACGTTTCTGTTCTTTGTTTGTTGCGGGTTGCACCCCGATCAAGAGCCGAATGGCTCACAGGGCCACACCTAATACATGAACTTGAACCGAGGTCAACCCAGCCTGACAAGTGAGCACTGATTGGTGCAGTGTGTACAGATCCATCAGCGCTGGGGGGGGGGGGGGGAGAGACAAAAGAACGGCCGGGCGTGATTGACTCTGTCGCTGCAACCACCAGCCTCGACAATGCGTCGGGGCTGCATCTACATAAACACGCGGGGTCTACCTAATACATGAACTTTGAACTTTTTTGAACTTGTGCTACCCACTGCCTTTGACCCCTTGGCCCGCAGGAGAGTTTGGCAGGTGCGCATCGGATACCTGAAGCGTGAGGGCAGCAGCGGAGGGGCAGCGACGGTGAGCGTGGCCGTCAAGACGCTGAAGGGCAGATCCGACGAGCAGCAGCAGCAAGACTTCCTGTGCGAGGCGAGCGTCATGGGCCGTTCGACCATCGCAACATCGTCCGCCTGGAGGGCGTCGTCACCAAGAGTGAGCTGCTGCAGAGAACGTCCCTTCTACGCAGTTTAAAACAAAGTCACACCGGCGAGTCTGTTACGTCGCTGGCTGTGCGGCTGGTGAAGCCCGTTGTCGTGATCACCGGTGAAACGTCACCGCACGCGGATGGGAAATGTTGTGGATTGCTCTCCAACTATACACTACACTATACACTACACTATACACTACACTATACACTACATACACTACACTATACACTACACTATACACTACATACACTACACTATACACTACATACACTACACTATACACTACACTATACACTACACTATACACTACACTATACACTACATACACTACACTATACACTACACTATAACCTACACTATACACTTCACTACTACACTACACTATACACTACACTACTATACACTACACTATACACTACACTATACACTACATACACTACATATACACTTCACTACTAAACTACACTATACACTACTATACACTACACTATACACTACACTATACACTACTATACACTACACTATACACTACACTATTATACACTATACACTACACTATACACTACACTATACACTACCATAGACTACACTACTATACACTACACTATACACTACACTATACACACTGCACATTACACTACTGGTTCTTCACGTTCTGCAGATGTAGATGCCACTGGTTCTTCACGCTCTGCAGATGTAGATGCCACCACCACCATCTATTGCGTGTGGTGGTTGAACTTACAACTCTCGGTTCAGACGGGCAACCGGACGTACGAACAGGTTTGTTCGTACCTCTGAAAGTTCGTGTTATGAAAACACAGCGATGCATCTTGGCAGCAATACAAGGTGCGTACGTGACCCTGTGATGATGTTGCGGTATTAGTCGTGAATGCTTTGCGTGGATTGCTAACGTCTGCTTTTCTTGCCCTCTCGACGAAGGTAAACCCGTCATGATCATCACCGAATTCATGGAAAACCATTCCTTGGATGTGTTCCTCAGGGTAAGAAGTGGCAATGCCAAGTGGTGCGATCAGCGTGCGTTGCAGCCTCACAACACTCAGCGGTTGTGTCTGTAACTGTCCACAACATGAAGAGCAAACGGTGGCGTTGTTGTTGTTGTTGTGTTGTGTGTTTGTTGTTGTGTGTTGTGTTGTTGTGTTGTGTTGTTTGTGTTGTTGTTGTGTTGTTGTTGTTGTGTTGTTGTTGTTGTGTTGTTGTTGTGTTGTTGTTGTGTTGTTGTGTTGTTGTTGTGTGCCGTAGTTCCTACTAACCGGGGCTCCGCTTGCGGTGATGACTGCACGCGTGTGCATCAAACTTCCTTTGCACCTTACGTAGCCAACTGGCGCTGGGGGGCGGGGGGCAAACCAACACAACAAGCGGCAGTTCTAAACAAATTAGTTTGTCAAACTCGACGGTGACGATAACGATTACGTAAAAAGCACCTCGCAGCTCCTGGAAGAGCGTTCCAGACGGCCGCACCAGCAGCAACGTCACCCAGGCCGCCTCCTCCTCATCGCCTCCTCCCCCCCCTCCTCATTCCCCCCTCTCCTCCCTCTCCCCCCCTTTCCTCCCTCTCCCTCTCCCCCTCTCCTCCCTCTCCCCCCTTTCCTCCCTCTCTCCTCCCCCCTCCTCCCTTCCCTCTCACCCTCTCTCCCCCCTTCTCCCTCCCCTCTCCCCTCTCCCTCCCGCCTCCGCCTCCCCCCCTCTGCCCCCTCTCCCCCCTCTCCCCCCTCTCCTCCCTCTCCCCCCTCTCCCCCCTCTCCCCCCTCTCCCCCCTCTCCCCCCTCTCCCCCCTCTCCTCCTCTCCTCCCTCTCCCTCTCCCCCCTCTCCCCCCTCTCCTCCCTCTCCCCCCTCCCCCCCCTCTCCCCCCTCTCCCCCTCCTCCTCCCCCTCCCTCTCCCCCTCCTCCCTCTCCCCTCCTCCTCCTCCCCCCCCCTCTCCTCCCTCTCCTCCCTCTCCCCTCCCTCCCTCTCCCCCCTCTCCCCCCTCTCCCCCTCTCCCCCCTCCTCCCTCCTCCCTTCCCCCTCTCCCCCCTCTCCCCCCTCTCCCCCTCTCCTCCCCCCCCTCTCCCTCCTCCCGCCTCCCCGCCCTCTGGCCTGGACCACGTGGTAGAAGAAGAAGGGCGACTTGCTGTTGCCCCAGCTGGTGGGGATGCTGCGGGACGTGGCATGCGGCATGCGGCACCTGTCCCGCGTGGGCTACGTGCACCGAGACCTGGCCGCCCGCAACGTGCTCGTCAGCGGCGAGCTCACGTGCAAGGTGTCCGACTTCGGACTCTCGCGGATGCTTCTGCCGGACGACCACTCCGAGGCGGTGTACACCACCCGGGTAAAGGTGGGTGGAGAAAGGTGTCAGTTTTGTACCAGTTGAAAGGGTAAAAACCTAATAATTTATTTTGCCACTGGTAAAGGAGAAGTCTCATAGTGTAATGCTTCACCCCGAGCTCTCAATACTCTGATAGTGCGCTGTCTTTGAGTTGTGCGCCTTTTGGCGCAATCTGGTCCAACACCAATGGAGACTAGACTCTAAGAAAAGCTGTCTCGGGTGTGGACCAATCAGCTTCGAGGACAGTGCATATCATTACCAGAGTTGTTTCTTTTTGTTTGCATTTTGACTGCTTGTGTTGTGGTTATTGCAAACATGATGCCTTGTATAAAGGTGTCAGTTTTGTACCAGTTGAAAGGGTCAAAACCTAATACCAAACCCTTCGCCGCGTACTGACGACATCGGCCGCGAAAGCCGAGGGCGAAATCAAATTGTGAATGTCCCCCAGGGGGGGAAGATCCCCATCCGCTGGACCGCCCCGGAGGCGATTTCCCAGCTCAGGTTCACGTCGGCAAGCGACGTGTGGAGCTACGGCGTCGTCATGTGGGAGGTGATGACACACGGCGAGCGGCCATACTGGGACATGAGCAACCGGGACGTGAGTTCAGCACCAGCAGCCCTGTAGTGTGAGTCTGTGGGTCTCTGTGTGGTGAGTCTGTGGATCTCTGTGTGAGTCTGTGGGTCTCTGTGTGGTGAGTCTGTGGGTCTCTGTGTGGTGAGTCTGTGGGTCTCTGTGTGGCGGGTCTGTGGGTCTCTGTGTGGTGAGTCTGCGGGTCTCTGTGTGGTGAGTCTGTGGGTCTCTGTGTGGTGAGTCTGTGGGTCTCTGTGTGGCGGGTCTGTGGGTCTCTGTGTGGTGAGTCTGTGGGTCTCTGTGTGGTGAGTCTATGGGTCTCTGTGTTGATTATGTGGGTCTCTGTGTGGTGAGTCTATGGGTCTCTGTGTGGTGAGTCTGTGGGTCTCTGTGTGGTGAGTCTGTGAGTCTCTGTGTGGTGAGTCTGTGGGTCTCTATGAGTAGTCTATGGGTCTCTGTGTGCCCCCAGGTGCTGGAGGCAGTGGAAGGTGGCTGGCGACTGCCACGTCCCATGGGATGCCCCATGTGTCTCCGTCGCCTCATGCTGAGCTGCTGGCACGCGGAGAGCTCCTGCAGGCCCTCGTTCACCCAGCTCGTCACCGCCGTCACCGACGCGCCGCACTACAGGTGCGTCTGTGTGTGTCTGTGTGTCTGTGTGTGTGTGTCTGTGTGTGTGTCTGTGTGTGTGTGTCTGTGTGTGTGTGCGTGTCTGTGTGTCTGTGTGTGTGTGGTGTGTGTGCGTGTGTGCGTGTGTGCGTGTGTCTGTGTGCGTGTGTCTGTGTGTGCGTGTGTGCGTGTGTGCGTGTGTCTGTGCGTGTGTCTGTGTGTCTGTGCGTGTGTCTGTGCGTGCGTGTGTGCGTGTGTCTGTGTGTGCGTGCGTCCGTGTGTGTGAGCGCCGGGTGGCTAAAGCACAGCAAGTTGGCACAGTAGGGGGCACAGGTGGTGCATCAGCCAGTCATCTCGGTCATCTCAGTTAGTCGACCCGTAGGCACCTGGGTCTGCCCCGTGACCTCCTGCCAGCGGGCGTTCGACACTTCACGTGGCCTCAAGGTGCACATGGCCTGGCACAAACATCGTGGTGACGTCACCGCCACTTAGTGGCCAATGGCGGTTGTTGTTGTTGTTGTGTGGGAAGCAAAAGAACAACCCCCTACCTCCTCGTGGTGCCGGACTGGAACGCTGTGGTGGGCAGTGCCGTGGGGGGAGGGCCAATTTAAATTGGCCTTTCCCTTCATGGCGTTTGTAACCACCACAGCGGCTAAATGGGGGCTCTGGATGGGTACGAGGGGCTGGTCACCCCTCCACCTTCGATTAATCACGACAAAATCACGAATGAAAATTGTATTGAATAATCTTGTGCCAGAGGCCCCTCTTCCTGACGATTTTCTGAACTGGTCCTGGGCCTCTCCTAGGTCGACTCGGCCTCAAATGAGTACCCGGTTGGTGTGTAGTGAACATCGCTAGCACTGGGGAGACGTGATGATGTTGATGATGGCACTAACCGCTTTGTCGAGCCGTCGTTTGCGGTGGCCGGGACGCTTCCGAAAAAAGCGTCGAACAGCAGCTCCGGCAGGGGCCTTTCCCGGTAAAATAGAAACACAGAACGAGAGGCGAGCGGTACAAACGTCACGGCCACTTTGGCCTTTCGATGTAAAGCTTTCGTGACTGCAGGGATTCATCTTCTTGGTTCTTTCGGTAAAGTCACGTAGAATGGAAGTAATAGAATAATAAAATAAAACATAATAAAATAATTCTCACGACGTTTCGGCCACAACGCAAGCAGCCGTCCTCAGATGCTGTCGCCTCGACAGACCTGTTCTTCACCTGAGGACGGCTGCTTGCGTTGTGGCCGAAACGTCGTGAGAATTATTTTATTATGTTTTATTTTTATTATTTTATTATTTCCTTTCTACGTGACTTTACCGAAAACCAAGAAGATCACTTTGGCACTTCTCACGGCCCCAACGAGGCCTCTGCCCGGTGACGGGTGTTTCACCGTCACGGTGACGGGTGTTTCACCGTTACGGTGACGGGTGTTTCACCGTCACCTCGCTCTGCCTCCTCTCCCCCCGCACAGTTTCTCGTCCGCGGTGGCGGTGGCCTCCACACGCCGCGGCGACTTCTCAACGTCGACGACGCCGCCGCCGATTCTTCCACCACCTCCTCCCACTGCGTCTTAGTCGTGTTCGCTGGCACGGCCTCCTCCGCTCGGGATCTCGACGTTTGTCTCTCGTGTCTCGTTGGGGGTTTTCTCACGGCGTTCACCGCTCGCTCCCCTGTCGGTTTTAACACTTTAGATTTTTTTAATCCTTTATATTAAGTTCACTTGCTTGCGCGCTTACGACCGTGCAAATCTTTCGGTAGTTTTTTAACCCACTTCCCGTGATCCAATCGAGCTGACATTTTTGCACACAGACCTCGTTGTGCGTGACAATTTATTTTCGTGAAAACATTTTTCCAAAATTTTACACTTTTTAGGGAAAAATAAATTATATTCAATTACCAATTGCTTAATGGTGGCATGCAATCATCTGACCCATAGGTGGCAGCCATCTCAAGCCAGAGGACGAGAGGACACTAGCCGCCACGCATATAAAGGATTTATAGTGAAAAACGTAGTTTTTACGGGTTAATTTTTTCCCCGACGATCTGTGTCTTTCCCATAATTGTTTGTCGTTCACGTGCCTCCTCTTTGATCTCTTAATTCGTGTAGTGACAGGGTGACACCTGGCGGCCTGTAGGGGCAATTGCGGGTATCGCTGCATTACATCATC